CGTATATATAAATGTTCCATGTAAGCAACCCTTAATTTGTTCATAACACAACCAACTTATAAAAATATAGAACATTAACTTTTCGTGCAGATCATATCGAAGGGAGTTACTTACGATGTTATTTATGAAATAGATTACTTTGTAGGAGGTTAGTGTTAACCTAGCTAAAGGCAAGTAAATTAAGTAACTAGAATATCATGCATTTTTTTTTTTATAAATTAATTATCCGGTATCCGGTCACCAACAAGTGACGATTAATCTGAATTTAAGTCAGGAATTGGTTGAAAAGTATAAATATATTTAAATAAAATTAAAGTCAAAATGTATACCCATTTGTCTAAGTGTATTTTTTTACCTTTTTATTTATTCAACCAAATAGTTTTGATCTCGTGCACAAAGGCATACAAATCTTTAGCCTCTTGACATTAATTGTTACCCGGTTGATTCGTTACCCAATTAAGGATCGGGGTTGCGTCTTTGACCTTGTCTTTTAAAGAAAAATAGAAAAAGAAAAACTTCATTTATTGTGTAACATTAACTACCATTTTTTGCTTTATGTTTTCTAATTCTTCGGTCAAGTTACCATATAAACATGCCGCTAAGCTAACCAATCTCATACGCATGCATATGTCAAGATACGGTGTGAAACTTTGTATAGGTTCAACAACCTACCTTCGGCGATATAATTAATGGATTCGATCGATCGTAATCAATACCTATAAATGAAACGTAGCTTATAGCTTATTTCAACTACTCTTGGTATGTGAGCTTCTCAAATACTTTTTTTAAAAAAAATCATATTTATTCCTTATTCATGACAACTGGCAATCCAAAATATTTTTCCTGGATCATCAATTAAACTGTTAAAGAATGAATAGATTAAATTAATTAATCTTGTTGAATGTTTTAGGTGCTACCGATATATCTTCACTAAAAAAATGAACCTTTTGGCAGGTTTAATGAAGTACATACATATATATGAGCTTGTCTTTTCTATGAAACTATATAAGATAGGATCTCCCAGCTGTAAATAAGCAAACCCTAGGAGCTGCCAGCCACAGGTGGTCACTCACTTGCACTACAATTTTTTCCTTCTTTCTAGAAAAAATGGGAATAATATATGACCCTTTTCACAATCAAAGCTGTGCAATCATGATTCCAAATCAAATGTGGAATTACATCATATATATATATGCCTTACATATATTGCTATAAAACGTTGTTAATTACCTGATAAGTCATGTGTAACATACGTGGGCCTGCCTGACCTGTCTCTGTTAATGAACCCTCTTAAGTTTTCACTTTCATGCTTTATTGAAAATCTGTTAGTGAACATGCAAACCAAATCATTCGATTAAGTTGCAGCATTCGTATATATTAATTCTATCACAATGAGTAAACTGCACACATTCTCAATTAACACATAAAGGGATCCTTTTCTTCCAAGTAGAGAAATCCTTATGTCTTCATTACTTTTCAAACTTTAAAATATAATGTTCCAATGATTTGAGTACCCTCTCTCAATCAAAACCATGTCCTTTTTGTTTTGTTAAAGGGTTGAGCATTGATGACCACAAAATGAGCGAGCCTCATTATTACCTACTTAGTGGTGCTCCGTCTTTAATTGGAAGAAAAAGATATAAAGAGTGCTCAAAGAACATATAGCTAGGTGCCCCTCCCCCCACCAAAAAAAAAACCTAATCACATATTATGATATATAGTACTGCTCACTGTTTTTAGCTTTTTAACTTTTCACAGTAAGCAATCTGATCACGTATATGAAGCTTTCAATCATGAGATAAGTGCATATAAACGCCAAGAGTACTCACTTAGCTTAAAAGGGTATATTATTAGATATATTGGATAAATTAGCTTTTCACAAAGTAATAACCTACAACTACATCTATGTATGCAGGATTCAAACTCGAGATAACTAGAATAACTTTGTATCGTACAAGATGGTAAAACTATATATATATATATATATATACATATATATATATATCTTGTTATAATTAATGTTCCTTTTAATAAATATGTTATAAGCAAAAAAGGAATAAAGTATATAATATATTGAATTTGGAGAGAAAAAGGAGGGGAAGGGAAGAGAATGCTTATTAAGTTTAGATCCACTTTACTCATCATTCCAATGGTACTTTGAAGCTTTAGAATTTTGAATGTTCTTTCCACGCACTTCCAACTGATGCACTTCTTAGTTGTAGGCCTCATCCCCAGATTCTTTTGCTACCTTTTAATGCACTGGAGAATAATTAATGAAATAATTATAGAATTTTATACTTCTATTATTCTATATTTTTTTTCTCCTTTTGTTTTCTTTTTCTTCAATCTACCTTAAACTCTTGAACAGATAGTATAGTCTTGGAATCCGCGCGATATAATACTTCCAAGATGAAGCTCTCCCTAGCTAGACCCTAGTCCTTTTTATGTTTTTGGTGTTTTCTTCCATTTTCTTTTAGAAATTACAAAATTAAAAAGTAAAGCTTATAATGATTAATTTTTCTCATCATGCTTCGAATCTTGCAAGGGTCAAATTAATGTGACTACGTGAGGACCCATATGCTTCCTTCATATACAGTTGGTCAAAGTTATGTCTAATCCTGCCTTCTCAATAACTATTTTGCATGGGAAGACGTCACAACAGTGTAAAAGAAGTACCAAAAGGTGAAAATACAATTTAGGTAACTTTATAAAAACATTCATTTATGTGGATTAATCTTAATTCACTCTTTAGATCTGTGTATATATATTATTATTTCCATTCTGTTTTCTTCCTTTAAATTTAATCACGTATGTTTCTGTCTTCTGATTAAATTTCCCTTATGCATAACAATCCTTATCTATGAACCTAAGATACCGAAACTATATATGCTATATATAGTAACATCTCGAGATCCTACCCGTCATACATCTCGATAAGAATCTAATCTAGTGGGGGATAAAATAGAATCCTACCCTACTGCAGGAAGAATTCAAAAGAAGAAACCAATTAAGGTTTTTTATCTTAAAAAGAAAGAATGAAAGAAAGCAATAGAGAATTTAAGTTAAGAAAAAATTAATGAAATGGAGATATTTATATTCAGCAAATCTCGAGGAGTAAACACATTAGACAAAAGTGGTAAGGAGATTGTTTTTATATCTCGAGGTCTCGAGTTCGAACTATTGGAATAGAGAAAATGATGTTGGAAGAGCATTCTCTTATAATAAGTTTGACAATACTTGAACTGGACTAATCAGGAAATCGATGAACCGATATACATATCCTAAAAACATTAGACAGAAAGTAATAAACAAGTTACACTACTCAATGTTCATAATTAAACTCTTGCAGGACATGTTTTCTGGCTTGCAAGAAACCACAAATTGGAGCCAAATGAGACTGAGTATTGAAAAAACGAAATGTGAACACAAACGGGTGTCCATTATAACAGTATGTATCAGTTTTGCTTCCTTTATTTGGTAGCACAAAAGGTTTTTTTTTTTTTTTTAGGTGGGTGGTTGGAAACTTGGAATGGAGATGAGATTAAGACAAAAGGTCATTGCAGTTTGCAGGAGGAGAGAGATAAGTGAGGCTGAAAAAGAAACAATAATGCTATGAAGGATAGCAGACAGAGGGTTGCTTTTTGGGTACTTGGGGAATAAAATACTGTCTCTCTACGAGGATTGGTGTGAAGAGAGAGAGAGAGGACTAGCTAATATTGGAGCTAGATGCATTAGTGCAAATGTGCAATGAGAACAAAAAATTTTGAAAAAAGAAAAATGTAATCTACCTCTTTGCTGCTTCTTTTTTTCTTTTTTCTTTTTTCTTTGATCTTTGATCTTTCATCACAGTGGTTTCTTTCTCCTTTAGTAACTTTCTTTGAATTTCTGCTGTCCTTGTCTGTCTATTCAAAAGATGATGTGGAAAAAGGAGGGAAGATCTGTGAGTCCTAGTAAAATTTTTGAATTGCGGGTCCATATTGTTGTATTCTCTAATTTCCTATACAACTTCATTTGCATACAAATAACGTAGCAGAAAAAACAACACAACCAACAATATCATTTAATCCACAGAATCAAATAGTTTTTCTGGCCCTTTGTATTATGATAATAATGATCAACATGAAAATACTTGCATGCATTGTGCTATTGCAGCTAGCGGATGAGTCGCTGTTAATGACTGCAATCTTCAGCTTTTCATACTTCTATTCATGCATAATGCTACTCACACACATGTGTATTCTTACATGATACGTTTAATAATTAATTAATTAAAATAATATGAGGTGATGTGTCTATAAATATCAGTAAGTAATATTATATTATTGTTTATATACAGTGCATGAGGCAGCTCAAATTATGCTATTATATTAAGGAGAGTAAAACAACAATAAAAAAAACTGGTTTCTTATTAATACATTAAATGTCACGTATCAGAAACCAGAAAACACCTAGTTACAGGAACACACATTTATATAGAAATGTCTTAGAGCAATAACTGTAAACTGGAGAGAGAGAGAGAGAGAGAGAGAGAGAGAGAGAGAGAGAGAGAGAGAGAGAGAGAGAGAGAGAGAGAGAGAGGGAAGGCAGTAAAGTAGTAACAAAAAAAGCTAAGAAAAGCTGCCTCTTTAAACTAAAACCAAAAGAGAAATAAAGGAAAATGAAAAAAAAAAAAATGACAAGTGACAAGAAGTATAAAGAAGGTAGTGAGGCATAGTTCTGGTATTTCTAAAGCCTAACTACTTGCTCTAAGCTTTCTCTCTCTCTCTCTCTCTCTCTTGCGCTCCCATCCTTGAAACCTTTTCAGTTAGTTCCAGGTTCCTCTTATTGAAAGAGAGGAATAAAACCAGCTTCCAAAGTCATCTAAGCTTAGAAAGAGAGAGGGAGGGGGTGGTGTTTGGAGAGAAAGAAGGATAAGAAAAGGAAGAAGTATAGTGTGGTTCTGAAGAAAAGGTTCAGTCACAAAGGGGGGGTGGTGTGGGGGGGCTGGTTTTGTTCAAGTTATGCGCCCAGGAGCTTGTGCATTGCAGCAGACCCTCACAGCAGAGGCTGCTTCAGTGTTGAAGCACTCTCTGGGCTTTGCTCGTAGGAGGGGCCATGCACAGGTCACTCCTCTGCATGTGGCCACCACGTTGCTCAGCTTAAGAGCCAGTTCCTTCAGAAGGGCTTGTCTTAAATCTCAGCCTCACCAACAAACTTCACATCCTCTTCAATGCAGAGCTCTTGAGCTGTGTTTCAATGTGGCTCTCAATAGGCTCCCAACAACACCGGGTGCTTTGATCCACACTCAACCTTCTCTTTCCAATGCTTTGATTGCTGCATTGAAAAGAGCACAGGCACATCAGAGAAGGGGATGCATAGAACAACAGCAACAACAACCACTTCTCACCATCAAGGTTGAGCTTGAACAGCTCATTGTATCCATTCTAGATGACCCTAGTGTTAGCAGGGTTATGAGAGAGGCTGGGTTCTCTAGCACTGCTGTTAAGAACAATATAGAGGACTCTTCAGCCTCTTCTGTTTTTCAGTGTTACAACAGTTCTGGTGGTGTGTTTTCTTCTCCTTGTTCACCTTCTACTTGTGAGAGCCATAGGGAAACCATCAACCCTAGTAATTTCAGCCAGAACCATTTCTTAGCTGCTTACACTTCTGAGTTCAACTCAGTTTTCTTTTCACCACCAAAGAAAGCCCCAGTGTATCCCATCACTGCTGTTGCTTCTTCTAATAAGGATGATATCAAGCTTGTTCTGGATATCCTCTTGAGGAAGAAGAAAAAGAACATTGTGATAGTTGGTGACTCGGTGTCATTAACTGAAAGCCTTGTGGGAGAGCTAATGGGAAGGTTAGAAAGATCAGAGGTACCTGATGATTTGAAGTCAACCCATTTTATCAAATTTCAATTTACATCAGTTTCTTTGAGGTATATGAAAAGAAATGAAGTTGAAATGAAACTCTTGGAGCTGAAAAGGAGGGTGGATTCTGTTGCATCAGGAGGAGGGGGTGGCATTTTTTATATTGGAGACCTGAAATGGACAGTGGAGGCATATTTCAGTGAAAAAGAGGAAGGGTCCTCTGATGGAGAATTTTCTGGGTATAACCCAGTTGATCATATAGTTTCAGAAATTGGAAAGTTATTCTGTGACTGTGGAACCTCAAATGCTAAGGTGTGGCTGATGGCCACTGCTAGTTATCAAACATATATGAGGTGTCAAATGAGGCAACCCTCTCTAGAGACGCAATTGGCTCTTCAGGCTGTTTCTGTTCCATCAGGTGGACTTGGTTTGAGTCTCCATGCTTCCAGGTAATCTTTTGCTTAATAATTGATTTGATTTGATGCCAGAAACATCAACTAAAGACTAAAAATTTTCTTGCTTAATTTGTTTGATTTAGTACAAAAAGTTCTGCATAATGACAAAAAAATGTAATCCAAAATAAATAAATAAAAAAAGTAAAAGAAGAAAGGAAAGAAAAGAAAACATAAGCACATAAAAGTTATCCAGCCATGATGGTTTGAAAGCTTAATTTGTCTTGCATTTTGTTGAGGAGGACGTACGGTCACTGGGCTATGCCAGAACCTATTGTCAAAAGCATGGTTAGTTGGTAAGGCAGACATGAAGCAGAACCTTTCTGCTTCACTGCTTCACTTTAGTTTGTCAGTATATAACCTCTTACACGTTATGCATTCACATGATATTGGATTGGAGAAACAGAAACTAAACTTTACCAAAAGAAAAATAAAGAAGTCAGAGTTATATACCTTTGCAAACATGCCTTATTGCGATTCCCTTGAAAAAAATTAAGACCTGCTGTGATCTTAAGTGATAGGAATTGAACAGAAAAGCAGCTTCAGATAGTAGTGCATATTCAAAACTCATCAGTGCCTATTTGTTCAATTTGGATGTTAATTGTGTGGAGTTTCTGCACACAATTTGCAGTGTCCTTGATTCAAAGATGACCATCTCCCAGAACCCATCTCATATGTTGGAAACAAAGCCCTTTAGTAACAAGGATCAGCAGGAAAAGCTCAATTGCTGTGAAGAATGTGCCTCCAATTACGAAAAAGAAGCTCAATTTCTTAGACCAGGAGAGAAGAAAATCTTGCCTTTCTGGCTTCAGTCTCATAGCACCGAAGCCCATAAAAAGGTAGCAAATTGTTAAGCTGAAAAGTCAAGTTAATTTTTCTGTTTTATCTGCTTATAATCCAACACCTGATGATTGTGCAATAGCTTAAATTATTTTTCTTCTGTATGTGCATGTGCTAGTTCCTATTAGTTGAGATTTGAAAAGTAGTAATGGCTTATGAATAATTCAACGTTTTCAGGATGAATTAACACAGCTGAAAAGAAAATGGAATAGACTATGTCACTGTCTCCACCAAAGCAAACAGCCTCAGAACCACAGTAGCAGGAACAACAATTACAGTTCGAATGAAAAGATGTACCCCTATAATTTATCAAGTTCTATATACTTTGCCAACGATGCTGCTAAACCAACTTATAGCTCCAATCTAATACCTCGATTCAGGCGTCAACAATCATGCACCATTGAGTTCAATTTCAGCGATAAAAAGCAAGCAACAGAGCCAATCTTGGATTCTCTTGAGAGCGTGGAAGGTAAAGAAGTAAAGATTACTCTTGCTCTTGGAAATGGTGGTTCAGGTGAAATGGGGGAAAATATAACTGATAGAACACTGCAACGAGCTCATATTTGTAAACTATTGCAGGAGAATGTGCCATGGCAATCTGAGATTGTTCCTTCAATAGCAGAGGCCTTGGTTGATTCCAAATCAGCAAAGCAAAGTAACATCACTTGGTTATTTATCAAAGGCAATGACTCCATTGGAAAAAGAAGGTTGTCACTTGCTGTTGCAGAATCAGTTTTTGGCTCAGCTGATATGCTTCTTCACTTGGACATGCTAAAGAAAGAGACTTCAATAGCCCCATTTTCAGAAATGCTTGCTGGAGCATTGAGAACCCATCAACAGCTTGTGATCTTGATAGAAAATGTTGACTTTGCTGATGCCCAATTCAAGAAATTCCTCTCAGATGGATTTGAAACAGGAAAGTTTGGAAATTTAAGAACCACAAAGGACAAATCAGGCCAATTAATATTCATATTGACAAATGGTGGCTCCACAAGCATGGAAGAACAGAATCAGGACTCGGTTATGAAGTTATTGTTGCAGATCAGTGAAACCAAGACTAACATAGAGACACCTTGTTTTGGCCACAAGCGCAGAGCTGAACTTGATTTGTTTTCCAATATCAAGAGCCCCAGAATTGAAGAGAATTCTAAGGAAAGGAACAGAAAAAAACACTTTTCAAGACAATCAAGCTTCAACACCCTTGATCTGAACATAAAAGCTGATGAAGAGGACAAAGCAGGGGAAAGTAGTCCCATTTCAAGTGATTTAACTCGAGAAACTATAGCTGATCCTTTGAACCCAAATGGATTTCTTGACTCAATTGAGAACCAGTTTGAGTTTAATACAAGTCCAGCTAGGAACAAGGAAATGGAAGAGCTTTTTTTATCCAAGATCAAAGGGTCCTTTGAGGAGGTTTGTGGCATGCAACATGTGATGAATTTTAGTGTAGATGAGAGGGTGATTGAGGATGTGGGTATTGGGTGTAGTTCTTTTACTAACAGCTTGTTTGAGAAATGGCTTAGAGACATTTTTCAAAGCAGCTTAGAGACAGTTAACTTTGGAGGGAAGGAGGGTATACGTTTTAACCTTTGTTGGGGTGGTAAAGGTAAAGGAGATAGAAAATTGGATAGTGGGTTCATGACTTCATCCTTGCCCAAGAGTATCCAAGTACAGTACTTCATAGAGTGAGCAAATTTTGGGTAAGGAGGGTTTCTTGTAAATTTGTCCACAAGATGTAGAATGGAATAGCTTGTGTAACTGCTAGTTTTCGTAATAGCATGTGCTTGATTTCCTTATTATGTCAGTCATTTCTCACTGCTTGCTACTTTGATTTTTATTTAGTTTTTGAATAAATTCTTTTGTATTCTTTTAATGTTTGATTTAAATTTTTAAGTATATTCTAAAAGATTTGAATGAATACTGAAAATAGTTATATAAAAAAAAGGATTCATTTTTTCTGCAGTAAGCCTAATGCGACGTCGTTTTGAGGCGAAAATCATGGTGTTTTTATAATTTTAATTTATTTCAGGGTTATTATAGTCTTTATAATTATAATTTTCTAATCTTTCAATCCTAAAACGACGTCGTTTTAGAAGTAAATGCAGATAACTTATCTGCATTAACTGCATAAATATTTTTATGAAAAAAAAAACAATAATAAAGATTTTGTTAAAACTTAAAGTCTTGTCAATAATATCTTTAACTTCATGAAAAAAATTTAAGCAAACCTAATCCTTATCAGAAAATTAACAAATTAAATGTTTGAAAGGACTAATTAACAGACTAAATAAGTCAAGAAATGTGACAGCTAAACTTAAGTTATAAATAAGAAGAGAAGACCACAAAGAAAAAGAAAACCTCTATAGATGATAGATGAAGCATATGGATAAAGCAAGGACGAAAATTATGACAAGAATTCAAGGGTAAAGTCAGGAAGGATCATTATTGGACTTAATCTAATCTAGCTAGGTCTATCTTTTCATATTTTTTAATTCGTTTAATCTTTTGTTTTTTTTTTAAGATTGTTGAATTGCTATTTTTATGATTGATTAATTTTCTTTTTCCTAAGATTAAGAAAGTAACTTATCTATCAATTTGTGATTTGATCTATTTATTTCTTTGAGTTTTTGGAAGATGTTACTTTGATGATTCAATTATGATGCTTTTAATACTTTTTAGAGGAGGGATATTCTCACTATCAAAATTTTCTACTACCAACTTATTACCTATTTAATTACCATTAGATTAACATTATCTCTCTCCTCAAAAACTTTTTAACATTCTCTCTTTGATCCAATAGTAACGTGATGAGTAGTAAGCTAGTAGTAAAAAAATTTGGTAGTTAGAATACCTTCACTCTACTTTTTATATGTTAGTGTGATATACATAAATAGATAAGATGATAAATGATTTGAGATTTAATTGCATTATTGTTCAATCTCATGCTTTATGAATAATCATGAGTGAATATTCGCATTCTTTAAGTAAGATATATATAGAATATGCCAAGGAGGAAATGCACTTTTGATTCGGTTGAACCCGCTCTCACTATAAAGGCATATATTTTTCTTATATTGTAAAAAAAATTATCTTATGTTATGTTGTAGAAATAAAAGTATAAGTGGGACCCATAAATAAGAGAAGAGAAAAAAAAAAGTGATGGGACCCAATTCTTTTTTGTGTACGTAGAAAAATTGTTTATCTTATATAAAATAAGATAAACATAACTCCACTATAAATGGGTGTGGGTCATACAATAAACCCAAATATATTTCATACTATAATATCTAAAATATTAGTAATATAGCTATAGCATAAGATCTTATACACTTTTCTTGAGATGGTATTATCTTTCTTGGCATGATCATGAGTTGATTTACGTGTGAACTCGTATATATATATATATATATATATATATATATATATATAGAGAGAGAGAGAGAGAGAGAGAGAGAGAGAGAGAGAGAGAGAGATTAGTTCATCATACTCGTTTAATCAAAGGTAAGTCGAGTCATTGGTACCCAAGGGGTGCAGTTTCCATCTAGCAGTCTACATTTTTTTTTCTATTATATTTTATTATATTATTTTCCGTAAAAAAAATTAATGCCGAGAATTCTCTATAGTTGAAAATCACAGTGTATAGAAACTTGATATAATTATTATGTTTCTTCAGCTTCAACTATGCACAAATATACATGCAGTTATGCATCCAACCAAAGGGAAATCAAAATGATAAAATAATAAAGAAATCTGTCTCTTTCCACTACAAGACAAAAATATATTTACGCTTTCTGGTTCCAATCTATTTCTTCAAAACTCTATATCATTACTTTGACCTTAAGGGTTGTATGATTGAACGGCGGAAGTGCATCCTTTTTCACCATCTTAGAACACCATCATGGTTTTGATTTTCTGCATTAGATTAAGATGTGATCGTCAAATTCTAAATTGCTTTAGAAAAAAAGGCAGCTGAGTATCCCGCTGTTTAGATTATGCAAAGTTAATTACTGTATGATAGGTAAATGATCATAAATATCCTGACATTATAATTGAGTTCGAGTATGGCCCGTACTCATAAATAATGGACCACGGCGTGTAACAAAGTCTACATGAGATGAGACATAATTATGAGAAACTCAGTAATTTAGTCAATAATATGACAATATAAAAAATAAAAAAGATTGATGGGATGGACCTATTTTTGTTGACTGGACGGACTCACCTAAAGGGCCAAATCTTGGATGGGCTATTTTTAACAGATCAAGTCATAAGCCCAACCCACCAACCATCATGCACCTTTCATTATCATTATCCATCTCATATCAATCATAACAATCTCCATAGTGGTGGGTTGGTTCACCCACTACTACATGGTCCCCACCCACCAACCTTACCTTACCTACTCCTTAAAGTTTCCCCTTTTTCGATATCTTTATTTATTTACACCTTATCCCATCACAATTCACACACACCCCCCCCAATGGCAACGGAATCGGAGGTTCCCCTTAATTTTTGGGGCAACATGCCCGAAGAGGAGTACTACACCTCCCAAGGGGTGAGCAACACCAAATCATACTTCGACACTCCCAACGGCAAGATCTTCACCCAGAGCTTCCTTCCACTGAACCTCCAACCCAAAGCCACCGTCTTCATGACCCACGGCTACGGCTCCGACACCGGTTGGCTCTTCCAGAAGATCTGTATCAACTTCGCCACCTGGGGCTACGCCGTCTTCGCCGCCGACATCCTCGGCCACGGCCGTTCTGACGGCCTCCGCTGCTACCTCGGCGACATGGACAAGATTGCCTCCACTTCACTCTCCTTCTTCCTCCACGTTCGGCGCAGCGACCCTTACAAGAACCTGCCGGCGTTCCTCTTCGGCGAGTCCATGGGGGGACTCGTCACCTTGCTCATGTACTTCAAATCAGAGCCGGACACGTGGACGGGCCTGATATTCTCGGCACCGCTTTTCGTGATACCCGAGGACATGAAGCCCAGCAAGGTACATTTGTTCATGTACGGTCTGCTGTTCGGTTTGGCTGACACGTGGGCAGCTATGCCGGACAACAAGATGGTGGGTAAAGCCATCAGGGATCCCGAGAAGTTGAAGATCATAGCCTCTAATCCCAGGAGATACACGGGCCCACCTAGGGTGGGGACCATGCGTGAGCTCCTCAGGGTTACACAGTATGTACAGGATAATTTCTCCAAGGTAACGACGCCGTTTCTCACTGCACACGGAACTGCTGATGGGGTCACGTGCCCCTCTTCCTCCAAGCTCTTGTATGAGAAGGCTTCCAGTGAGGACAAGACCTTGAAGCTTTATGATGGGATGTACCATTCTTTGATTCAAGGGGAGCCCGATGAGTCCGCAAACCTTGTTTTGGGGGACATGAGAGAGTGGATTGATGAGAGGGTTCGAATGTATGGGCCCAATAACAATTCTCACTAAAAAAAACAAAAAAAAGTAAAAGCAATTGTATTCTAATTTTCGTCCAATTTTTAGCTCGAAATTTGAGGTGGTGTCAACTGTCAATCAAGACTTGATTAAAGATTAATGAAATTGTTTTATGAAATTAAAGGTGTTTATGATCTTAACAGTTGAATAACGTTTATGTAACTAAGTTGTGTGCAAATTAGGAGTCACACGCACACCTAAAGAATTTACGTGGGTTCAATCAAAATTTAGTGAATCCAGTTTAACCCCATTTCTTCTACCTAGTAATGGCGTTGATTGAAATCTCTCCAGTCACATTTTAAAAAGAAGGGTATGGTGCAGTGGTATACAGGAGACAATAGGCATTAGGCGGCAGAATAGATGAATCTGAGGCACGCTTTCATATATACCGGAGAGAACAGTGATCTTAAAAAATTATTTAGGAGTTGTTGACCATCAATATCGTGAGCAAGATTCAGTACGAGAACAATGGCAATTAATACAAGCTGACTGACTCGTAACATGAACAATGGTAACAAAAAAAAGGTTTGACTCTTTGGTGAAGTTGCTTTTATGACGTGCAAAACATGAACACTATTTAATGTTACATTGACGTTTGAAGACAACCTATTCTTGAAGTTGTTGCACATGGCATGTTTCAAAATCCTTAGTACTGACGATAGAATTGATTCTCAACATTAGAAGTTATCCTCTTTTAAGGCAAAATACAAATGGCGACGAAGACATTATCAAAATAAGGGAATAACTGCAACAAGAGATTCAGTTAATCAGTATTAACACAGTGCCCAAGATAAGACAACGGCTGAGGACAATGGGAAAAGAAAGAAAACGCTTTCCTTAGTCCATATAATAAGCATCACTAATTAACTACACACTTATACAAAATAAAAACCTTAGTTACAAAAAAGAAAAAGGAAAGGAACGAAAAAGGAGGCAAAGCTTTCTTTAGGAGGTTCCCTCAGATTTACGTTTGTGCAGAACTAACAATGTAATAGGAAAAACTGATACGGCGCAACGGTTAGAGCTGCTAAAAAATGATAGCAACGGGTAAACTTACAGATATGGTCAACGAAAAGCTAATATATACAAAAAAAATAAAAAATAAAATGACACTAACCACAACTGGTAATCTAAAATCTGGTATGTATTTTGGGAGCATTTACAAAATGGTATCTGAGACTTAATATTTTGGGAGCATATACAAAGTTGGGTGGTCCCTCTTCCAAATGTGGAAAAAAAAATTCCACTCTACTCATTTTTTTCATTTATCTTTCCATCTATATCCCTAAAAAATTTCCACATTTGGAAAAGGGATCATTCAACTTGGTGGTCTTGGACCACTAAAAATATTCTCCAACCTAATATGGTAAACCATGCCAAATAACTTAAAATGAATTGGGAGGTGTTCTATACGAAGATGAATCCCCTGCAGCATATACAGACGAGCTTGATAAATCTATTGCAGTTTCAAGGTTGAGCAAAGGTTTTAGTCTTCTATGAACCTCATCACTCAGAAAATTGATCTCTTCAACAATCATGAATAAAGCAGACTTGCAAGACTCCTCATCCCTGAACGCCAATGTCCATCTTCCATCTACCAAAGTTTTTGTGTTCAGTTTCCCATAGTCATTGACTTTGGCAGCATCCAAAAAGGGTAAAGAGGATGACCGGATCCGCAAGTGTAGCCATGTTGAATTTTTATCATCAATCTTGGGCTAAAAAATGGGGACATATATTGATCGTAAGATTATTATATACTGAATAATCAGAGTTAAAATAATTATAACACAACTTTTCAAAATACATTACATTGTTTGGTTCTGTATCTTAACCAACAAATCACTTTTGAGAAAATTATAAAATATTAATCGAGAAAATCATATAAAAGAATTGTTGGCAAAATATTTCCAGTTTAGAACAACAGCCATCCAAGTAGGTAATCAAGTCAATAATAAGTTACTCATCAACCAAATGAGGGTTATTCATTCCTAAGCTGAAAACAAATTTTCCGAGAAATATTTTTTTCTTTTGTACTTTTTCCAAATGATTTTAAACCATAATTGTCAGCTTACCAAATGACTCGACTCAAGATTAAGATGAAAAGATAGAGGACATCTATACATACATTGCACCCAGGCAAAGGTGCAGCAATCCGAACGACTCCGTAGGACTTCTTCAGTGGCAATTCTTCTGCAAGAACAAGCCACCCACATATTCCTAAAGAGATTGCTAGAAAGCAAAAATGACATTCTTTTCCTCTCTCGAAAGCAATTCTACAAGGCACAGCATTACCTACAAAAGGCAAAATAAGAGAACATCCAACATCAATATTACCTTTATCCCAAATTAATTGGGATCGGCAGTTGATGAACCCAAATAATAAACAAGAAAAGATTAAGGAAAAATAAATAAGAAAGAAAAAATGACTAAAAAAGACCCCCTCAAAAATAGGAAATAATGGGTCTAACAACTGCAAATTGCTGACTTAAGAAACATGCAGGCTTCCTCTATTGGCCAGAAAGAAATTAAATATAACATAGAACCTAGCAGATGAAAACCACTGTATACATATACAATAAAAAAGAACCACATAATAAATTATTATTTAGAAGACTCCGACATTTCAAATAGGAGAATTAGTTCATTTGATGCCTGCTGTCAGGCTTATAGAATTATTGTCAGAAATTAATATATGCAATTCATGTAAACCTATTAATCTGTGATCATGACACATCACATTTTAAATTATTCTTAATCTCCCAAAGCTCATTGGTCTTGCACTAAACAAAAACATAATCAGTTCCTGCATTCACTATAGATTGACCCAAGCTTTGCAAGTATAAGGCAAACCCTGACACACACAAGGCTACCCAACTTGCAAGGGTAGGGGTGAGGATCGATTGTACGAAATCTGACCCTTAAATTGTTAGAAAGAGGTTGTTTCTTAGACTCGAACCCGTAACCTTTCGGTCACAAGAAGCAACCTTATCATTGCTCTAAGGCTTGCGCTCGAGCTTTGCAAGCATAGATGAGAGAAAAATCCTTTCATGTGTGACCAATGGCCGTTGTAGAAACTTCAAAACAGGCAACTCATGACAATGTCTTAACCAGATTTCTTTGTTGTCAATCATTAGTTTGTCACTTTGATATAAAGTTGGGTATTTATTACCATTGGTTGGGTTTGACTATTAAAGACTTGGCAAAGCGGGTTGAACATAATGGGTCAACCCATCAATACAGAGCTGGTTAGGTTGTATATTTCAACCCGCCAACCCAACACAACCCGCCCCACATATAGCGGGTTAGGAGCATATCAACCCACGGGTTATCATTTTTATTTTTAATTTGTTTCAAAATGTTAAATGTTAGATGATGGCTTGGTTTGTGTCAATGGCTATTATGTAAGACAAAAAAAATTCTTTTAGGGCCATAATGCTATTGTTTTGTAAAGACTCACTTCATCAAAAAACCTTAAGGTGTTGGGTTAGAGCCTTTTTAATGATTTATATTATTCTCTAACACACCACCTCACGCAAGAGCCCTTTGGGCTTGAAACGTGAATATTGCATAGGTCCATTTTTATTTTTTTTTGTTTTACCTTATGCTTATTTAATTCCACAATTGGGGGCGGTGAGGATCGAACTCTTGACCTTATAGTCACTGAAGCTCTGATACCATCTAAAGAACTACTTCATCCCAAAATCTTAAGGTGTTGGGTTAGGGCCTTTTTAATAATTTATATTATTCTCTAACATGTTTCATTGAAAAGGTTATTTTTTATTCGCTTTTGCTTTAGCAAAAAAAAATATTAACACAAAAAAAAAGAAGCTTGAGCCTGTTTTTAGATTTTAATGTTGGTATTTATACAAATCCAACTAGATGCATATAAAATCCTAGTTACACGATGCAATGATGTGTTTATTTGCATGTATTCACATGTTTGATGTCATTCTTTTGTTATATAATAACACTAGAATTATTAATTAATTTTCAATCGTAGCTTGTGTGGCTATGTTAAATAAAATTATTGGCTTAAATCATCCTTTTGTCATTGGCTTATTGCTTGACGCTTGTTTCAAACTTGAGGAATATTTGGATTTAGAGATTAGAAATAAAAGATTAGTATTGAATATATATATATATTTTTTGGGAGATGATTTTCTCCTGTAGTTGGGGAGAAGTCATCTCCTGTTATCTCACAATGATTTTTTTTTTCTTTAAGTTTTTCTTTTTGTTTTCAAGAAAATGATGAGATCCACCATAACAATGTTTCTAAGACATGAGAGAAAAAATTGCCTACAACATAAGAAAAGATTTCGCCATATTTTTTTTAATATTTTATTTTTTATGTGGGTCAACCTGCCCCACCTGATTTTAGCGGGTTAAAGGCAGGGCGGGGCGGGTTGGCCCATTTTGCCAAGTTTTCACTACTTAAGTATGGCGGTGTTGGGTTCTGAGACTATGTCCAATTGAGATTACTATCTAGATGTTTCTATCCTCCCACTCTTTCCTTCTACCCCTCCCTCCTTCCCTCTACTGATTCTCTTCTTCCTTCTTTTTACTCTTCTATCTGTCCTACACCAAAGCAAAAACCTCAACTTGAGTAAAACACTAAAACCAGCAGACAGAATACAAGAAACTGCAGTTCAGATGACTAACCAAGGCGGACTTCAGTTCCTGGCTTTGGGCCTGACACATCAAGCCCAGAAGTCTGGGCACGACAATTTGCAGGGAGATCACCGGGAGGGTAAATTGGAGGTTGCTCAGATAAAGTTCTACCAAGGGTGAATATTTGAAGTTGGTGCAGCAGTACAAATACCTAAATGGGGAAAAAGACAACGAAAAGCTCTTCACCATCTAAAGGTACACAATCCATGAAGAACCAGAATTGAGAATCCACATTATTCACATTTTTACGCCATACTGCACTTCAAAAAAAGAAGAAGAAGAAGCAGGGTAGGGGGAGGATAAAGAATAAGCACAGACCTTCACCAACTCATGCATTCTTTCTCCAGCAGCAAAAGATGATCCTTTTGGAATATCATCTGTAGGAACAACAGAGAGATCATTTAAAGGCCTTCTTAGGGCATGTTTGGTGCATAGTATAGAATAAGGCCTGATAGTATAAGACCTGATAGTATAAGGCTTGATTGTATAAGACCTGATTGAATTTTAATACTATCCAGCGTTTGACATGGTATTGTATAAAACAATATATTGTATAAGGTATATCATCAAGTATTTACACTGTAAAATACTATATAGGATAAAAATAAATATTTTTAATAAAAATATCTTTTAATAAAGAATTTGTATAATTCTTCAAAAAATATCATATGATATTAATTTTTATAAAAATCTATTGATCAGTGTGTCTAAAAAATAAATTAATTTTTATAAAAATAAAAATATTCAATTTTTTAAAATTTAATATGTTGAAAAATTAATTTTTATTTTAATATATTAATATTAAAATAATATATTTATTTTTAAGAATTGCACTAGTCAACAATGTTAATACATTAATCCCTTATCAGGCCTAATCCCTCACCCTTAGGCCGGATTAAGTTATACATCGTTTTGATGTATTAAGGGATTTTGCTGTATAAGCTTATACTATACGATGGTCACACCAAACAACTGAAAATGTCATAACGTATAGTATAAACTTATATTATCAGGTCTTATACGTCACACTAAACAGGCCCTTACTCTTCCCTCCATAGTCCATAACAGCAATCAGCCAAAGGAAAAATGGATGTTAAAACAGGAACAAGCTTACCTTCTGAAGAGAGCTTTTGTGGTGGCAAAAGCATGCAATTTGGCTCTTTTCGAGCAGATGACGACTCCATTGCTACAGGTAGAAAATGTTCTAGTTCAAGCACAAAAGTAAATCTCTCAAACACAACAACAATCAAGCAGAACAATATATGATATAAAATCACCTCTTTTGCACTTTCTCCACTCATCACAGAGAACAGAGATAAGAAAGTCAGGCCAGATACCTCTAACTTCCTCTTCAAGAGCAGAAGCACAATTCTTGTAAGAAACCTGTATTAGAGAAGAAAATTGATATAATTGCATTAGGAGATTTAAATAGTACAGATGATACTAGTAGGGCTGTGAGGCATTTCCATTTTTTTTATTTAAATCATCTCTTTCCTATTCTCATATCTTATTCATGAATTTCTGCAATCATGGTTGCAAATGTGACTAATTTATTGTAGAACAGAGAAGAGGACTGAACAAGGCATATTTTACCAAAAAGTACAATCTTTTAAACCACCCATTTATTATTTCTACAAAGACAATAAGACCAGGAGGTAAGGGATTTTTTCCTATTTTCCTATTTTGTGCGTTTCAATTTGTATTTTCTTCAGTATCAGCTCTCCATTCCATTATTTTGACCTAAACATAACTGTCTTTTCTTTGAATTTAGAAATTCTCTAGGCACATTAAATGGGAGTCACTCAAATGGTAATGGTAATTCATATCTATTCTATACCCATATATTTTATGTATTAGTTGATCATTAATCAATTAAATTATTGGCATATTTGCATAACAAAGTATTAATAAAATTTTGATTCCATGGCAACACCTGCAAAGGATTTTAGATTTTTATGTATTTTTGTATTGGTATCAACTCTCATATTACTCAGCTTCCTTAAAATGTCTACTGAACTGATATTCCCGGAAAGTATAAAGTAATTATTTGATCTCCACAATAGCAAGCACAAATGTTGCTTTAAACAAAGCAAATACGTGAACTTTGATACATTTGTAAAAATTATGCAATCATAAGAAATTCATCAATTTATTGTGGATATTGCTAGAAAAGCCTCATAATATGTTCTTACTTTCAGTAATTCAAGGTGATGGCTGTTGAATTCTGAGTCACTGTAAGGAATCAACTGGCGCAAAAGCCAACCACCGTCCCATAGTGTCTCTGCAGATATATTAGAGCGACAAAATAGGATCACTAATGCATCAATCACCTGAAAAACACACCATATATAATTACTAAACACAAATCATAACAAACTACAATTACGGTGATTTTCAAAATTTAAGAAAAAATGGAAAAAAGAAAAACCATTCATCAGAAAAAAAGGGTACTAAAGTATAGTAATTTCGAACAGTATAAGAAGCTTCAAAGCGTGGACTTTAAATACTAAAAAAAGAAAAGGGAGATGATGCCAGTAATATTTCACTTTTCATTGCTGGAACGTCAGTTGTTGCATTCCAGTATGGGTTCCACAGCAAATTGGAACCGAAACGCACCGCAAACTGGAACGTACATCCCAGAACACAGTTCAAATGGGATTGAGCGAATTGATAACTATACATGGAACTCCTATATCCACTAACCATAAAGCACAACTTTAGACTTATAATATAAAATCATTCATGTGTCTTCACTTAAATTTAAACTTTTAGGCCAGTTGGTTTATAACATATACCAAGTGGTCTAGAGTTCGATCATTATCATCCTCATTCAAACTTTTAGGCCAGTTGGTTTATAACATATACCAAGTGGTCTAGAGTTCGATCATTATCATCCTCATTCTTCTAATAAAAGGTTGGATTTAAGCATAAAGTAAGTGGACCTGTGCATTGTCCACGCTTCAAACCCGAAAGACTCTTGCGTGAGAGGGCGTGTTCGAAGTTTAATATAAAATTATTCATGCATCTTCACCAAACAGCTTAAGCTTCAGAATAATTGGTTCATGATACACAATCATTGAGTATTCTAGTTGACCTTGGATGAAAAGATGAACCTACCAATTATCAGTGGCTATGGCATAGAGAAACTATTACACACAAAAAAGCAGTATTTCATCAAGACTCCACTAGATAGAAATAATTACCTGAAATCTATGTACGCGAGGGCTTATTCTCCCATCAGAAGGCTGAAAAGATACTCCATACTGCTCCTGTGAAACATGGTAAATGGAAGAAAGCCAACCATCAAGCAAAGGAGCTTCTAAAATCTAAATATTGGCAGTAAAATTAAAATAAAGAAATGATTGCTGAAGAGCAGAAGGAACTGCAAACCTTTATCTTTTCATGATAGACATCAAGATCACTACTAATGCCATCCCTTGCCAAGCTATTTTTGGAAGAAAATAGTTGCTCTTCACCTGAATCCTCGCCAACTAAAGCTTGCTTCACAAATATGCATGCCAATCAGCCAATCAGCCAATCAAAGGACATATCAAGAATAGACCAAATTCATTAAAAGTGAAAAGAAGTGCCAAGTCGATGGATTTTGTGCCCTTCAGAGACATTATCCTTTGACATTCACCAATACACTGTTGCACCAACATCATAAAAAGTGGCATATTGAATACAACTCACGTGAGCTTACACCATCCAATCAGCCTTATGTCAGCTCACTCGAAAGTCAGCTCTCAAGCAACTCAAGGCAGCCTAAGCCATTCATTATTTTATCTCATCACCTTACTTTTCTACAAGGTGATTGTAATTTCATCCCTTAGCTTGCATTAGGGATGTAATTGGGTTGGGTTTTGGGGAAAATAATTTCTACAGCGAGCATATTAGAACAAGATGGGTTTGCTTCGGTTAGGTGATTTTTCAGTGCTCAGCCTGAACCGAACCAACCCAATCAATTTCGTTTGGATCGGTTCAGGTAATCTTTTTTTTTTTCAGCATCCATAAAAAATGGGGAAATAAAACAAAAAAATTAAAATAAAATAAAATAAAAAAACATAGGGGGTTGCAAAACAAAAAAGCATTCACTTTGTTGAAACAACTTGCAAACTCCTACTTTGTTCATAGTAGTGTTCCTTTCCGATTCTGGGGCCCTTAGTGACTACTGACTGCTACTTGATTAACCACATGATCTCCCAAGTCCTTGATAACCAGGTACTTTAGTTTGTGTAGTTAGTCACTTTTTAAATTCCCCATGTGAGGGTCATTGGAATGTTGTGACCCATATCCTAAAATATATTAAAGGAGTTTCAAGAAAAAGTCTCATTTATTAAGATAAAAGGCATACTCAAATTGTATGATCTTTAAATGCTGATGGCATCCACCACTTGCATCATTTGAATAAAGCAACTTCGTAAGAAGCTTTAGATCCGGAAGATCATGATACTTGTTTGCAATAACCAAGTTACATGCATATCACCTCTATCGCAGCGTATCATTGCAAGTCCAGCTGCTACCTAGCTGCCGTTGCGTAGCATTTTAGAGTAGCCTCTGTCGTGACCGCAATTGCAATCTACATTGCAGGGAATAGTGGCTGCCATGACTGCTCCTGTGAAGAATTGGAAAAAGAACCCTCTTTGCCCCTCATCTCTGCCTAGTCCCACCATGTTTGTGTGGAATATCACCTAGACCTTCTGTTCAAAACCTTTTGAGACTCAGCCATTGGCCACTGCTCTTTCTCTCTCATCTGTCCTGAGTTTCAACTTTCACCGCATACCCACTGCTCACCGATATTGTTATGGCAATTCACAGCGTTTTCCAGCCAAGCCCTTCTCTCTTCACAGCAATGGTTCCGTTTGGTGGCTGGCTGGATGTTGTTGGAAGCCTGTTAAGGTGTTTTTTTTTTTTTTTTTTTTGAGTCTTCCGATTCAGACCTTGATAATGTCATGGCATCATCCACAAAAAACAACTCCATAGAGCACCTCAGCCTCAGCCTCTTCTTGTGCTTTGAGCATTCATATAGGTGTAGTATAGCTTGTTCAACTTGTGTCTATAGTCTTCAATATAGAGACCATCCTGCTATCCACAATCCTGCTATAACGGTTTTGGAGTCAGCCACTACAAACCACTATCCAAGATTGATAACTATGCCTCCAATCCTATTTTCCAAGAGAGGACCAAACATTGAGGTAGATTGTCCCTTTATCAGAGAATAGATCCAATCTATAGATATCACCACAAGTCTTGTTAAATTCAAATGATCAACTAGCGGATGTTTTCACCAAACCTCCAAAAGGTCCTTGGATACGTTATCTTTGCAACATAGATAGTGCATATGATTTATATTTTCTAGCTTGAGGGGGAGTGTTACAAACCTGTACTCTTATGTCTAAGTTCATTGTATCATGTAAATATAAAAAGAGTTGAGGCACATGGGCTTCAACATATGCTTCTCTTTTCTCTCTCTTAACAAAACCCACCCCAAAACAATTTACCATATAGGCAAAGGAAGGTGTGCAAAAGTCAACTGTAAAATGCTCTCATAATGAAAAAGGTCAAAACGGAAGAATATGGCATACCAATAAGAGTTTCTTTTGTTGTTGACGTTGTGGAAGAATTCCAAGCCCATCTAGCATTGATTCATCAAGTTCTACAGAAGTAGATATAGTAAGTAAACAGGAAAAGATGCAATGGTAAAGCAAACAAAAATTGAGTGATACAACCTTTAGTTTGCAACAGAGTTGCAAGCACACTCCAAGAACCCAAAACTTGGGCATCATCTCCTTTTGTTAAATATGCAAGCAAAACCTCCCTGCATAAATCATAGAAGTTATCTGAAAAATTCATAAACACATCTTATTAAAAACGTTCAAATTGACAAGTTAAAGTAGAACAACTGCATCATTATAAGACATCAAAAAAGTAGATTTAGAACCTATACAAACAAAGTTACCAAGAAATATTATTTTATTAAAACATGTTTCAATTCTAAAACATCATCAGAAAGATGTACACAAGAAGCCAAGAATTGGAATTTTTATTTTCTTTGATAGAACACAATATTACACATTTTCACTTGAATAACTGAGTATAGCCAGTATGATTTGAGCTGACATGATACATTCGTTAATGTTTCCATTCCAGGGACAAGCAAAAATACAAAAAGAGAACTGTTCCAAATCTAACTTAAAAGATGTAACAAAAAATATAATTTAAAATTTGTAGCTAAAAAGTGACTTTTACCTTATAGACAAATTTGAACTGCTACAATCATTTTGCGTGAGAACACCTTCTGGATGAAAACCTAAAGAACTAGAAGCGTATGGAACATTGAACATTGAGTGTCTTGTATCACACTTGGTAAGATTATCATTATCTGACACTTGGCACTCAGATGTGAAACCATGATCAGGTATATGGACATTGAATTTACCCACAGAACTCTTTGTAAAGGCCTCTGAGGGATAAAAAAAAGCAGCAGCTATGGTATTTGCCAAATCTTTGATTTTGACTATCCTCAAGATGCAACAAAGTAAGTAGAGAGAAGTGACAACACCACTTTGCATGTCCTGGATTAATGTGCTACCAAACATTAATAAGAACAAGTTGCATAATAAGAATCAAAATCTGTCTAAGAAATTTTTTCAAAGATCCTTGAATAAAGACAACAGTGGATCAAAGTGAAACTGACAAGGCCATAAAGAAGTTTCATACATTATCAATCACTATCCGCAGGGAAGGAAGAAGTAATGGAAATATCAAAACCATCAGAATGCTATCTGCTATTAGCCTCCCAACATCAGGAATTCCAGCAGAGACAACATCACTAAAGTAGTACAGGTTGTTCTCAATTTCATCTACAGCACCAATAATTGTAGAGGTTGAATCTGGGCCCGGATTTCTGTCTCAGTATTCAGTAGCCATAATTGCTCTTTCAGGACAAAGGGAATGTTAAGCTAATTTATGAAAGAGAAAAGAAGTTGCTTACATTAGTGTATTAGAGACCAGTCTATTTAAATCCACGCTCTGCTTCCTAAAAAATGAAACCAGGTTTGAGAAGTAATCTTTGTGAGGTGCGCTGGTTATATATCTATTAACAGAGTCATCTCCAACTGAAAATTGTACAGCAAATGTGTTAGAAAATTACAAAAAAATTTCATCATAAAATTCAGTTCAAGAAGGAAAAACGATGGAGGAAATAAAACTACGGGAAAGGGCCAGTATAATGTCTCACGACTCTCACCATGATAAACATTAAGGGTGATAGCTCGTACAGCAGTGCGAACCATGTTCTCCTCATGAAAAGCAAAGCGTATGGCCTCAACATACAATGGAAACGAAACCACTTCAACCTAAATGCATAGAAAGATACAGTAAAGACATTTGGACATCTCAAAAACAAAGGCAAATTATCTCCTCCCCAGCCAAAAGATGAAAAATCAACTAAAAAGAATTGATAGAAACAAAAGATTAATTATGAATATGATAAGAATCGCACAAGGTTTGATTGAAACAGACTAAAAATGTTCCAACAGGCTTCTGTGTCAAAGTCATCCACTTGGAAAAATCTAAAACAAGTTTTTATTGTATTTCTACCTTTCATTTTCTCCCCCTTCCTTTCTTATCCTTTTATTAACCATAAAATCTCAATAAAAGTCTGCTCAAAGTACAAAAACCAGTATCATTTATCCACCCTATAAAGTCTAGGGCATATAGCTATAAATACCCCACTAAATCTTGGTCTCCTTTACAATTCCAATGCCATGAACAAGATAACCACTAGCCAAAAGTTATGAAAGCTTCCTCACAAGTCTGCCTTAAGAGCTATAATTCAAATCATCAGAACAAGAAGAAGACTATGAGGGCATTAAACTTACATCGTGAATCTTCACAAGCAGAGAAATTGTATTCTTGTTCAATTTTCCACTTATTGCTCTTCAAAAACCAAAAGACATATAGCCAGGGAACTGATTAGCAATATTATACAAAGAAAAGGGGAAGTCAACAAAATATACTGGCCCCTGAAAAGAGATTCTATGCAGTGTAATCATCAACCGCCATTTGCCAGTTCAATAATCAAAATAACTTAAAGATTAAAACGAACCTTAAAAAGGATATGTAGTAAGACAACAGCTCTTCATTTTGAAAGTCAAATGAATACGTTATCAGGTAGTTCATATGTTCATTACCAAACATATAGTCTGTCAAAATTTCATTAAAGAAGATTATTAACCCATCAACATTATTATATCTCATTAAGAAACTAAAGAAAGTAAGAAACTGCTGAACAGGGAACAGCATTTGATAATCAACCTACATATAGCATGTTCACTTTTTAAGTTCTGGACCATGATGCTCAGAGTTTGCAACAACTGAAGTGGAACGTTTACAGTCCTGCTAAGTTCTAGAATACGCATAAATTCGCCCATGACTTGCTTTTCCATGAAGAATCTGCCACAAGCCAGGACAGGATACAATAAACTTCCAGCACGACAAAAAATTATACTAAGGAACATAAGCACTAAGGAATCTCACTCAAAAAAGCTTGGGTCATGTTGGTCACCATATGTTATCAGCTCCGCAATTGATCTCAGTGCCTCAATAACAAAATCCTTCCACACACAACACAATTGAGAAAATTGGGAAAACCGTGAAGAACAAACAAATCAAAGAAAGTTTTAAGCTAAAATGGGGTAATCATATTACCTTATTAACCTCATTAACAATATGAACTTTTGTCAATTGATCAGTTAAGTACCTGCAAACAACAACGCAGCGGGACAATAATCAATTATTTATTAAACGAGTTTCTTTCAACTAGGAGTGAACTAAGGTTCTAGAAGATATCTACAATAAACGGCTTGCTGTATTAGTTACCCAATATTTTTCGAAATTCAGAATGCGCAATTGATAATTTTAGCGAATTTGAATGAAATGAAGCGTGGAGGAAAGGTTGAGTGACCTGAGTTGATCCAAGGAGAAACGATCTCTGGATCTCCAGAAGGAATACCACATGGTCGTAGAATCAGACCTCGAAATTGAGCTTAATTGAATTCATTCACCGAAATTGAAAATGCTCGATCCTTCCGAGCAGCTTCGGAGGAAGAAAGTGAATGTGATTTTGTGTGATCAGAGAGAAAATAGCAGTGTTGTTAAACCCGGTGGGGGTAATAGGATAATGGTCGGAACGGTTGTGCCGGATATATATATATATAGATATATAAAAATATAAAAATATGAACATATAAATTCAATTATATCTTTCATATCTAAAATAAATTAAACAAGGTTCACTAAATAAGTTAAAAAAATGAAGTATAAATAAATAAAAGTGCATGCTATTATTATGTCAATTTAAATGGCAACTCAGAATCTCTATAAACATACCTCTTAATGACATTGAACTCATATTTTTCAAATTCAACTACATTAAAATGACATATGTCACATTCTCTAATTTATTATTCCACAAATTGCTTTAGTATTGGAAACTAAGAGGTCATTGTAGAAGAGTATACTTGCAAATAAAATTATAAAAAGTTGTTAAAATGAGTTTTACATTTTTTTATAAGATGAAACAATTTTGGTTTTTTTTTTTTAAATGCATGACCCGATCGGGTCACCGGGTTTGGCCGGGTTTGTCCGGGTTTTGACCGGGTCGATGCATGAGCGGTCCAATGCTTAACCCGAACCGGTCTGATGACTGGTTCACCGGGTTCCGGGTCAACCCGGCCGGGTCGGGCCGGGTTTGACAACAGTGGAAAATAGGGTTCTCGAAAGATCGTGAGTTGAGGAAAAAACACTTGGGGTGTGTTTGAATGTGTTTTTGTTTTTTTGTTTTTAAAAACCGTTTTGAGAATGAAATTTGAAAACTGATTTTGAGAGTAAAAAAATAATAAAACTTGTTTGAATATGGTTAGTTTTAAAGTTATAAAGAAGTTGTAATTATTTACAAAAATGTCATTAATAAATCCTCATGTTTACAAAATTGTCACTGCAAAATAATTTAAAATAAAATAAAAATCAATTTAATTACCAAAATACCATTAATGAATCTCCTTAATTACAAAAAAGCCACCGCACAAAATAAGAAAGCAGAAAACAACGAAGCGAAAACACCCTGGAGCTGTTTTACTTTTTCTGTTTCTAAAACAACAAAACAGAAACGATTTTAAAAACAAGAAGCGTGAAAACAGTGTTGTCAAACAAGTTTTTTTATTTTTTTGTTTTTAAAAACAAATAACTGTTTTACAAAACAGTTATCAAGCAGACCCTTGGTTTTTGGATTTTTAGAAGTAAGTAGGGGTGCTGAACGGAGTAGGGCCTCTCAAGGAGTTTTTTGCTCTGTCCGTTAAAGGCACGAGCTTACATGTCTAACATTAGTTGTTATTTAGGTTCCACTTTAAAAACTCGGTATTTAGAGCCTCTCACGCTGGCTTAGTATATTATCTTTTTTTTATTTTTTTTATACTACTTGTAATAACTTTCTCTTTCTCCTCAATCTATTTCATCTTATTTTATTAGTTAAACATATTTTTTGAATAATTTTGTTCTATATTATACTGTTTTGATATACATTGAATTTATGAATATTTACGAAATTACTAGTGTTGTTGATTATATATTCTGTTTGGATAAATTTTTGTTGTCTTATTTTTTTTAAACAGGCTAAACCAAACTTTTATTTTTTGAAAATAAGTAAGACCACGGGCCGATAATTATATTTATAACAGGTAACAGGTTTGGTCAGACATTTAAACACAAACTTAACCTTTTACGATCAAAGCTCACCACTACTCGACCTGTTAACACCCCTAGAAATAAGTACAAATAATAATAATGAAAAAGATAGATTTAAAAGATGGGATTCAAGTGTATTTAATGCAATTTCTCGTACAGGGAATTTGTCAGAATGAAAAGCTGGGTAAGGTGGATCCAGGTGAGACATTGGACAATTTGGATTTTGGACCACGGATACAAGTTTCTATTTATTTTTCCTCAGTTATTTAGTCTCTTACTATATAAACATACATTTTTTTTATTTCCATTTATCAACCTTCCTCATTCACGAGAGTAAAAGAAAAAGTATAATATAATCCAGTGATATTAATCATAAAATAAAGGAATGGCAAGATTAATTATAGTTAAATGAATTATTTTTTCTAACTTTAGCACGTGATTCTCCACTAAATTTTTTATTTTTTTTGTGGAATACTCCACTAATTTTTTATCACCTCAATTGTTAGACAAGTGAGGCAAAATTATACAGGTGACAAAGTTTTTGCTGCCAATTTTTAATATAATTGGATATCCAAGACTTGAACTTGTGACTAATAATTAAGTCATATCAGTTGACTAAGTCTTTAGCATCATAAGTAGGGGTGTAAATGGGCCAGGCTGGCCCAGCCCAGCCTACGGCCCGGCCTACATTGAGCCCAGCCCAGGCCCGGCCTTTCAGAAAAATAGAGTAGGCTTAGGCTTATAAAAAAGATTTTTTAATAAATAGGCCATAGGCCAATTTTGTCAAGCCCGGCCTACAGCCTTGTAGGCTGGCCTATTTAATTTATTAAAATAAAATAATAAAATAATATTTATTTTATGTGGCAAAGACACAAAGTACCAAATACTAATATCTCTTACTTTTTGTGCTATTTTATTCTATGAAAGGAAAACTTGTCTAATGTCTCCAAATTTTACATGTTGTTGCAGCTTAATACCATAGAGCAATGGGTACCTTGCTGGATTATGATGTTGCTGATGAAAATCTTTCAATAATACTCTTATTTCCCTTATCTTGATGGTGATTTAAAGATTTTTAAATGAATGACATTCTCTTGTAGACTTTATTTCAGCATCCAGTAATTGTATTTTTCATATTTTTCCCATTTCTTTGACTCTATTCCTCTATGATATACATTCTAGAGCTGAGGTAGTATGTTGACTCTTTCTTGTTTGTCATTTTTTTCTTATGAGAAGTATTAGTGCATGCATGAATGGAGCTTTCTTTGCTCTATACAATTATTATTATTATTTTTTTTTTGATATCAACAATTATTTTTTTTGCTTAGTATATATAGTGGGAGGCCTACAAGGCCTGTAGGCCATGTCGGGCTTTCTTATTTTTGAAAATGGGCCGAGCTTGGCCTACAAATAAAGCCTTTAATAGGCCAGTAGGCCAGATAGGCTGAATTTTTTTTGACGTAGGCTTGGGCCAGGATGGCCAAAGCCCAGCCCAGCCCAGCCCATTTACACCCCTAATCATAAGAGTATGGGATAATTTATTTATCACCTTTTTAAGCTTATTACTTTTATTATTCGTTTGGTTATTATTAGATTAATTTGTAATCAATAACGACTAATTTTTTTCTTTTTCAACCATTGATTTCAATAATAACTAAACAGGTAGTAAGAGTGATTAGTCTATAATAATAATTCCAACGATTAATTTTTTTCTCTTTTTCAACCATTGATTTTAAATTTTCAACACCTATATACTTACATCTTTTTTTATTATACAATCTCTTATAATTATTTGGTTATTGTTAAATCAAAATTAAAATCAAATCAAAAACTCGTTATTTTGTTATCATTATTTTGTTTTGATCTAATCATAAGAAAAATAATTGCATGGATAAAAATGTTATAACCTCCTTCATTAGAATGAGGTTATATTTATAATTTCTCGTAATTATTTTATTATCGTTAGATCAAAATTAAATTAATTTCTCAGACTGGATACAATTTTATTATCATCAATTTGATTTTAGTATAGTGATAAGGACAAAGAAATTATACGTATATACAAGTTATACTTATCATCTTTTTTATTTATAACCTGTTTTTATAATTATTTTATTATCGCTATATCAAAATCAAATTAGAGATAAGAAAATTAACAATATTTTATATAATAATTATAAAAATGATTATAAAATATTATAAGAATAAAGAGACGATGAATATGGTATCCTCTAAGATAAATAAATTCGCACATATAAAAATTATGTTGTTAATTGAGTGACATCTCATAATTAATTATAATTATGCATTTAAAGCGAGCATAGGTTGCACATCCAATCAAATTTATAAAAACAATTTAAAACTGACCAAAATTTTCAACTATATTTTTACTCATTTCATCAATAATAATTATGATAGCTTTGATTTTTTTTTAAAACAAATAGATTAAATAAAGTAATTTTAGAATTAAACATTCATACACGTGGGTGCTTGTACTTTATTACAAAAAAAATTATTTATTCGATAATTAGGATATTAATCGATTGAAGTTGTCAACTAACTTACTTGAAAAGTCCTTAATAATAGGGTGTGTATCATAACCATTTTATTTCCTAACACTATTTCTAAAAAAAAGCAATTCTTTTCTATTTATGTGCCTTGGAAAAGTTTCTGAAAAAAAAAAAAATGCGTTTGATAACATATTCTATTTTTGTTTCAAGAATGAGAATTATGTTTGATAACACAACAAATAATATAATAAAAATAATTACTATTAAATATAAAAAAATTTCAGATCATCACTTTCTTTTCCATATGGTGTGGTTATGGTGGTGGTGACGGCAGTGGCTGCGGCGATGGTGGTGGTAATAGTGACGGCGGTGGCGGTAGTGGTAAAGATTGTGGTGGTAGAGGTGACGACAGTGACTGCGACAATGATGATAGCGGTTGTGGTTGGTGACGGTGAAGGTGACAATGGTAGCGGTGGCATGGTGATGGTGGTTGTGATGCCATCATGGTGGCGTTGGTCGCGGCGACAATGGTAGCGGTTGCATGGTGATGGTGGTTGTGATGCCATCATGGTGGCGTTGGTCGCGGCGACAATGGTAGCGGTTGCATGGTGATGGTGGTTGTGATGCCATCATGGTAGTGGTGGCGATTGTAGTGGTAGTGGTAGGCGACAGTGGTGGTAGTGGTGGCGATGGCGTGGTGATGGTAGTGGCGAGGGTGGTGGTGGTTGGTGGCGGCGGCAATGATGGTGACGGTAGTGGTTGTGACGATGGTGGTGGTGGTTGGTGACGGTGGTGGTGACGGTGGTTGCGATAATGGTGGTGGAGGTTGATGGCGGTAGTGGTGGTGACGGTGATGGTGATAGTGGTGGTGGTGGCGGCGGTGGTAGTTGTGGTGGTGGTGACG